ACATATGTATTTGCTTTGTGTATCCATGAGGTTTGCCAGCGTCATCCCAAGATCACGTAGGATTTCGCCTCGTAGATCTGTTATTCCGGCAAATGTAAAGAGAGATTTCAGGGCAACGATTATCGCGAAGCAACTGCGCTTTCCACCGAATAATACAGTGGCTATCGAAAGTATTCGAACGCTTCATAAATACCACCTGGTTAGACATCTTTGATGATTCGTCGAACCAGTGATTTTGTAAAATTACGATCGATGGAATTCTATATTTTTATAATCTTTTCTTCGAGCACCCGCTTTGAGAATATTTGAAGTTTATTTAATTTTTTTGCCTATTTCAGCCCATGAATGGGATTTATATTTGAACTCTGGGAGTATTTAACACGTGGTACCCCTCGTCTCTAAAATTCCTTTCTGTGTCCTTCGAACACTTTCGTCACCCACGTAAATTCGCAGTTGCTTCGTGATAATCGTTGCTCTGAAATCTCTCTTTATTTCCCCCTTAAACGAATACGTAGAAAAACGAATACATCGATGAAAATTCTTGGCGAAAATTTTTTTCTTTTTTTTTTTTTTCTAGAAAAGCGTGGACGAAAGAGATATCTCGAGAACTCTAATACTCCAGTGTTCCTCGACAGAAATAAATCTGTCTCCTCTCCCGCGGGACCGAATTGGATTTATCCCCGCGACTTCAGCCTCACCGGTTAGGTTCATATACAGGTCACGGCCGTAAGTTTGCATAGTTTGGACGTGGCCGTTTAAATCGACGAAAAGCGCGAGTTTCCAACGTCGCGATTTAATCCGACTCGTGCAAACATCCCCCTCCCCTCGAAATAAAACTTTTTCTTCGTTCGTCCCTCGAAGAAGAAGCGTTGCTTTCGACCTTGCGAAACTTGAAGAGCTTGAATCGAAACGATCGACGTAACGACGCGTGAACGATTTGCGGACGAGAAGATAAGGGATCGGATCGGAAAAGCGAGGAGGAAACGGAGCGAGGAAATATCGGGCGTGGAAACGGATATTATTACGTCGACGAGGACAAGAAGACGGTATGAATTGGGCGGCGAAAAGGGTTGCCAACAAATGGCCCTACGAAATGCTCGCAATTCGGGTAATGCGCCGCTGTAACGAGCTTGCGGCTAGCCCCGATTCCACCCGCGAATAACTGAAGATCAAAGTTGCCTGTAACCTCTCGCGCCTTCTTCACCCTCGATGAATCGACGAAATCGCGAATTACTCCTCGAATTTACACTTATGTTATATAATTTATATATACTATAAGTGAGATAAATAAATAGAAAATTGTTTCGTCGCAAAAGTGTGCGCGAATGTCACGCCACCATGTTCGTGCTCGAGGTGGACGAATTTCGAATTTAATATCCTCCCAATTATCTCGAATACGAACTTGAACGTCGGAGAGAGATAGGCGAATCGTAAAGAATAACCTCCTCCTCCTTCTTCCTGAGCGAAAATATCTTGGCAAACCGGAGGTTTCTCCCTTGAAACTGTTGAATCACCCTTGTGTGAAAATTTGAACAGCTCTTCCGTCACATTTGTCGAATATACTTACGGCGTAACTTTGTTTGTGCGAAATTTATCGCGCGAAACGAACGCGTCCCCTCCCCCTTCCACGTTTTCCAAGGCCGTAAGTAGACGTTATTATTTCACGTATCGAGGAAATGCCACGAATATTAAGATAAACTAGCGTCCCGTGCGTGCTAGTTTTATCTCAAAAAATATCGATTTTTCTCTCTCTCTCTCTTTCTCTTTCCCTTCCCCATAAGTCGCGCTCGCAGCTACGTGTAAACCGTGTGTAAACTGTGTTTCCACGTTTCTCGTCGCGGCAGACGAAACTCGTATAAAAGTAAGTTGCGCGTGTAACGTTAAAAGCTTGACGAATTCGCGACGTGAATTTCGGACTTTACGTTTCTCGCTCGTTGCGCGTATTATTTTCGACGAAGCGATAATGGTTCGTGATAATGATTCGAGGATGGAAAACGCGAGAGATCGGGATTGGAAATACTGTGTCGAAGCGAAACATCGCATGGGGGCGTTAACGTCATATCAAAAGCCTTATTGATCTTAATTAAGTGGTCTCTATACTTAATGGTCAAATATCGATCGGTTTAGGTGTGCGCCCCTCGCCGGTGATGGAAGGGTCAACGATCCCTTCTTGCGAATTGCGAATGATCGATGGCGAACGTCATCGGGGACCGACCGACCACTGCCGTCCAGTGATTTATCGGTTTCGATCGGCGCCCGTAATACGATGTCGTCCCAGCGCCGGAGGAGCGCGCTGTCTTCGCCTCCATCCATTTCTCTCGCGTAACTCTTATACAGGATGTTTATAAAAATGTGGGACACTCCGTGGAAGCTGGATTATAAACGTAAAAACGATGAAAAAAGTTTGTGTACATTTAATAATTAACGATAGGCATTTTAAATTTGTATTAGATAGAACGAGACGACGAAAGAGCGAGAACGCTTAGCTTAGATCGCGGCAGTGCCGTATTGCAACGTAGCGGAGCCCCTCGATGAAAGTAAATATACCGATATCTTTTTATGTACAATTGATTGTTTCAAATGAATCTCGGTAACATACAATGTACATAAATATCATGTGTAATGCAACATTTTTATATCGTTTAAAAAAAATTTTAATTAGGTTTTTCAATCAATTGGTCTGTGAATTTCAAATTGATTCGAGTATCATTGAGGATAAACAAGTTTATGTGTAAGGAAATACTTTCTAATCTGAGATCTTTCTAATCTAAGTGGATAGATTGAACGTCATACAACGATTCAACTATGGGTTTAAATAATACGTTTGTACCATAAAATGATTTATCTATGAATTTAAATAAAGTGATGTATATAAAGTGTTAATATTCTGGAATTTGATTATTTCAAATGAATTTCATTATAAAGCCGCGATTTCCCAGAGGAGGTGCCGAAACTTTTTAATAAAAAATTAAAATTATTTAATAAAAACGTTCGTAATATCTACAAATGAATAAACTTCATATCGTAATGTAACAATACAAATTTAATCTTTATTTTTATTTTTTTCATTCATTTTATACATTCGTTTAATTCCTGTTAAAAAATTATCCGGAGCGGAATATTTTAAAAATACCGCCTCTGTTTCTGTAATGCAAGAAACGACCGCCAGTTGCACGAAACAATAACCTCAAATTTAAACGTCGCTCGTAACCGAAGCGTATTGGCGGTGTGTGATATAATCTTTTTTAGAGAGACGCAGTAGGCATAAAGGTTGGAAACCGCTGGTATAAGGTAATGTACAATGTAACTATGAAACATTTTTATATCGTTTAAAAAAAATTTTAATTAATGCAAATTGAAATCTACGTAATATTATATATTTAACAGAAACTTACATATTTCTGTTGTATTATCGAAATCCATAGAAGAAAATCAAGGTACTAACTTCTATAAGATTTCGAATTGGAAAGATTGGACGTGTAAAATGTGCTTGTATAACTCGTTAATTAACGCCTTATCGGACATATACGTGTACACGAACTTTTTTCAAACATCGTTTTGACGTCTAGAATCCATCCTCCAAAGGTGTTCCACATTTTTGCAAACACCTTATGTATATTTACGAATTCCGTCTACCCTTCCTCCCCCCCCCCCCATCCTGCCTCACTTTTTCGCGACACTCGGCGTTTTTGAATTAGACGATGAGAAACGGGTGCTTTGATCGGCCATGCAAATTCCTTTCCAGGCGAAATCCTCGAAAGGACGGAGAAAGAAGTCGGGAAGCTGATCATCGCCGAGTCGTTTCGTCATTTCGTTCGCTGTTTAAACCGAAAATCGTTTACGTTTAGCTTCTCTCCATTTTTCCTCCCCTCCCGTGTAACGAACGAATATAACTTTTCTTACCGTGCCGATATTCACCGGGTCTCCATGGTTGAAATATTACGATCCAATTTGCATATCCCGACTGTGCGCGAAACGTGCAATCAAGAATCTAATCAAAATCCCACGAGCAAAAAGCGTATTCTTCGTCATATATAGTTTTTCTTTTTCTTTCTTTTTTTTTTTCTTTTCGCATTTTTAACTATCGCTCGTGAATGTTGGTGGAAATTAAACGAAGAGAAGGGAAAATTGAACGGAAGAAGAAGATACGGGAAAACGGTAGGTTTACGAGGTCGGGCAAGCAACAGTGATACAGTTATTTCGAGTGGCGTAAGTCCCGGATATCGTTATCACGGTTCGTCTCCTTATCTTTCTAAGCTCGGGGAAGGTTAAAAAAAAAAGGAAGGAAGGAAGAAAGAAAGAAAGAAAAAGAACGCGATAGAATCTGAAATTTCCTTCCCATCTTTTCTTTTTTCCTTACGATATCGTGCCATATGTTACGAGCCGAACCATTTTTATCCTTTTATCGGCCCGATATCGATCATCGCTTGATCATCTTTCTCTCGTTCTTTTTTTTCTCTTTCTGCCATCGATTCTGCCTTCTCCCTTCCCTTTCGTTTATATATATATATATATATATTTTACGGACAGAAACGAGCGCGGGTTGGAAACGATTGCCGCGATATTATCGAGTCGAGTGGAAATAGAATCCTTGTTTTTTCTTTCTTTCCACGATAAACGTTCCGGAAACGACGACTATTACAGCTAGGATTAATTAAAATCGATGCGCTCGAAGGAGAGAGAAAACGCGGGTCGCCATTGACCCAACTCCTCCGAAGCGAGTCCATTCGCGCTTTATCAGTGTCAATGGATTTAACGCTAATTTCATTTGCGTACCGGTGTCGTTTCTATTTGCAAGTCAAACAGGGCCGACCACTCTCCGCCTCACCTCGTTACGATGACAATATGCATCGCATAATGTATTTTATATCACGCGGTGATAATTTATAATGTGATCGATAACCAATTCCGAAAACGATCGCGCGATCCGTCAGAAGTCGAAACAATGTTTGTGTCCACGATATTCTATTACGTAAATGCGAATATGTTCCTTCCTCTTCTTTTCTACGATCGTAACCGAATTCGAATCGCTTTATCGTTCGTGGCGCCATCTGAAGAAAAGTCGCGACGAGCGCTCTAATAGTTTCCAGTCTTGCGCGACAATTTCAAGCAATATGGCGTGCGAAAAACGTTGTTCGCGTTGCCGCTTACTTTTTGTATTCCAGCTTAGGCCGTCTAAGCTATCGAAATAGTTTGCGCGCCATTGAGAGAGAACGTGTTGTATCTTACGAAATGTGAAAAAAGATCGTACCAAAAATTTAAAGAAATTTTAATTTGGAAGACGACGATCGTTCAGGTGCACCGAGAAAGTTCGACGACAGTGAGTTAGAAGAATGGCTCGACGAAAATCCGACCACCCAGACGCGAGAAGAATTGTATCTGATTTGTGTAATAAAATCTTGAATTTGGAAAAAAAAAGGCGAAAGAACTTATTTCCAGACAATTCACCGACCTCCATTCGCTGAATATATGCCCTCACGTAAGTCTATTACCGCGCTCTCTTGAAATCGATCGACAAACTAAAATAAAAAGGTAACAATTCTCGTTCTCCTTACGTAGCGGATTCGACTTCCAGTCCATCCTCGATCGAGTTCCGGAACGGACGGAGACAAAATATTTTCGAATATTTCGACAGAACGAGTGAATATGTCTGGGGAGATTGAACGGGGAAACGTGAAACGAAACTCGATTATTTTTCAGTAACGGCATTCGTATCCGCGAAGGAAGGGAGAAACTGCGACTCGACCTTCGATTTATCGACAGCCTAATTAAAGATTGCGAACGATGCTCGAGCCGCCGAGTTCCCGCTCCCAGGCCAGACAGACTGCGTAATAGGTAATTACGGATGGATCTGGTGGCGAAACAGAGGCTAATTAACGAGGCTTCTTCAATGCCGGACACGTTCGAGGGCCTCCTCTCCCTCCTCCTTTCCGTTCCACGTACGAAATTTTACGAATTCAGGAAACATAGCGTGGCAGCACGTCCCCTAACCCCCTAAACCCCGCAAAATCAGCGAAATTTCTTCTTCTTCCATCTCCAACGAATCGTGAATTCGGTTCCTCGGCCGGTTTCACCGCACCTTCCGGTTTCCGGAAGTTTTCGCGAATCGCGAGATCGTCCGCTTCGTCGCTAATTACCGCGTCAATTAGACGGAACGACATCCTCGAGGATCAGAGGCAGGCCAGGTGTGTTTAAAGTACGCAATTTTGTCGGCTAGAGTCGAGGCGAAACGAGGAGGAAGGAAGGGGAGAGGGAGGAGAAGGGGGGAGGATAGTGGTGCGATGAAATACCGAGAGATGCGGCTCTCGAGAGTCGACGGGGCAAAGGGGAGCAAAAGCGGAGACCTCTGAGGGGGCTCGTTATCCGTGTGTACGAGGCTCAGACAAACAGCCTCATTTGTCACGCGCTGACCTCCCTACCGACCTTCCCTCTCCTCCTCCTCCTCCTCCTCGCCTCTTTACGCCACTTCTTACCTTGTCTACGCCGGTTGTTTGCAATTTCCCCCTCCCTCCCCATCGAATCGAGTAAATATATTTAGAGTCAACCAGGGAAGAGAGTAATTTATATATCCGCAGCGAGGAGTAGCGAAAGGGAAACACACAAGCATATTCGAGAGCAAGTTGTTTTCGACGTCGAGGATTTTTTAACTTTACGGGAATTTAAGGAGCATCCCCGAGCAAATCCTATTTTCTAGATCTAGGTTGTGAAATAATTTGCGAGAAAAGCGAAGGTGGAGAAGGAAAAGAAAAAGGAACTCTTTTAACTCTCTAGCCTTTTGTTTTCTCGACGATTTTTTTAAGGGACGATAACAAAAGTTACATCAAAAGTCGTTAGATTCTATGAACTTTCTATTCGTCGAATTTCACTCTGGTATCGGAGGTATCGCGGTATCGGAGAACGCGAAACAAGTTCGATTCATTTGTAAATCTGCACATTCGCGAAGAGAAGTTTCGAAACGAAGCGTGGCGACGAGACACGGTTCAACGATAATGCCCTATCGTCGACTCCGCTTTTCCGAGACGGTGACCAACCGGAATTAAAATAACCACGCATACGTTGTAACCGCGTCTATTTAGTAAATTCGTATAGAATGGAAAACTTGAATTTATCCGATATCTCGCTCGTAATTTACGCGAGAAACTATTTCGACTTTTAACGCTCGAAACATTCGGTAAATGGAATATAAATGGCGCGAAACGAATTTCCTCGAACGTTACGTATATACTTGATATTAAAATATCGTATTGAAAATATCGTATTGAAAATACGCGGGGTGAAAATGCTCGTGTAAAAAAAGAAAAAAAAAAAAAGAAGAAATATTCGACCGTGTTCGAACGCGGCAAAATGATCGATATCCCGCGAAATTTCTGTTCGAAGAGATACCGCAAAGGTGGCGCTAATGTATTAGGTCGACTTAATTAAATCGACTCGATCGATCGACAGATATATCTCAAACGTGGCTACGTTCACGGTGAAGCTCGCCTTGTACGTTCCGCCTATAAACGGAACGACAGGAACAAACGTCGGTAATATGCCTATGGAACGAGTGTATTTTTCAAACGTCAGGGATTAGATTAGAGAGAGGGAGAAATTAAACGAGGATGTTGGTTAGGTCGTACAGGTTAGCGAAAAAAATGTGTGGGAAACTGTGTGCGAGACGAGAACAAAGAGCGAAAAATGTTGAGAGATTATCGAGTTAGGTTAGGTTAAGGAATATGGAAAGAATATAGATTCGTTCGATCGTTACGAGTGATAAATTAAATAATTTTTCCAGGAGAGATACGTTTAAAAACTCGATGTATCCTTATCCTCGTTAAATGTTAATCCTTCGGGAGAGAAGAAAAGCGAATTGGCGCGTGCAATCGACGAAACAAAGATCGCCGCAATTAGAGCGATAGAATCGATAATGCGATTGTAACGAACGTTGAATTTTCAGTACGGTTACGTCGGATTATTATCGATTGTAAACAATCCTTGGCATTAAACTATATCGAGATTTATAACGGATTATCGTATATCCCCCCTTTTCCCTCCCAGCCTCTGCATATAACGCTATGGTCGTTTATTATTTGTTCAACGATAATTTATTTATCTCTGATTATTACAGCGTACAACAAAATTGAAGTTTGCCAAAGGTAAATTGTCTAAATACCACCTGTGCGCACACATAACGACAGTTCAAATTGAGATTTTATTGAAGTTAATCCGCGTACACGAGCGTTCTCGTTCAAGTAACGATCGTTGGACAGATGGTTTATTCTTTATCCATCCTTCTCCGGAATTTGAAACACGCCATATTTCGCAAAAATACGCCGAAACAAAAATCCTATCCTAATTATTAGTTTAGAGTGATTGGAAATTCGAATTTTCATCTTTTTCAAACAATATTTTAATCAATTGGCGTGTTTTATAAAATGTTGGAAAGAAAGAGAAAGAACGGGTGGAATAATAACGGGAAGATAATTTGAATTGGAATAATAACGCGAAACGATTTCGAAGAAATTTTCGGAAAGCGGATATTCAACGAGCAACGTAATAGGAGGATATATCCATCGCGGGCGATATATCTATCGCCGAGCGATATGCTAGTCAACATTATGCGGCATCGATATTCTGATTACCAATTAATCCTACGATGCATCATTCGATGATTTTAGGGAACCAGGGAACTATCTACGATACACAAGTCTCCGATCATTTGCCGCGTTTTGGGATAGAAATTTAGAAGACGTTTATTCGATAATCTAGTCGAAAATCGAAAGTGTGGTCGAATTATTATTACTATTATCGAGATCAAATAATTGTAATTCTATTTCGATTAACGAAGATTAAGCGTGCGGTTTCGACGATCGATCCCGACAACAAACGTTCATTCGAAAATCTATTCGAAAATCCTTCGATCTAAAATGTGCGAATTATAATTATTATTATTGTTGTTGTTGTTGTTGTTGTTATTGTTGTCGAGATCAAATAATTGTAATTTTATTTTGATTAAGCGCGTGGTTTCGACGATCGATCCCGACAACAACAAACGAGGGACTAGCGTTTTTTTTCTCGGGGAAAAAAAGAAGCGTCGACGCGGTGTCGACGCGACTCGCTCGAATTTCCCTCGATTCCCCCCCGTTCCCGCCCACGGACGAAACGAATTATTTTCACGCGGATGAAATAACGTTAATTGGGCAACTTGTAAAAAAAAAAAAGGGTTGAAGTAAAATTAGCAGGGCCGACGAAATTAGAGCGGCGACTTTGTTCCCCTTTCGGATATCTCATTAAAATTGTTTAGCGCTTGCCAACTCGCCCCAACGATATTACGGCCGGCTCGTTAGCCGCTAGAATGGATAGCTACGTCGATGTACAATGACATTATACCCCGGAGAACCGCAACCCTGTTAAATAAAGCTCGCTTATGTTTTGACAAACTCAAGTGCACGGAGATGAATAATCCGCGAGAAATTAAAACGAGCAAAGTTTCGACGAGAGAGAGAGAGAAAGAGAAAAAAAAATTGCATATCCCCTAAAAGAGGTCGTCGAGAGTGGGAAGCTGGAATTAATATTAATACATCCGCTTTTAATTAAGATTATTCTTTTCCCACGAAAATCCCAGTAAATTCTCCAGAAAATATCGAGAAAATAATTCCATTTCTCCTCCTTTTTCTTCTTTTTTTATATATATGTATATATATATATATATATATATTATATTCTGGAAACGAACAAACTTGCCGAGAACAAAGTTGGCCATTGGAAAGAAAGAAAGAAAAAGGAAAAGGAAGAGAGAGAAAAACACCGTCTTCCTTTTTTATCAAAAGTTGTAACGGTCGAAAGAAGTTCGTGAAAGTAAAACACGACTTGCCGTCGTTATGAAAACAGCGCATAGCATTAGCATACTATCAGCCTTTCGCGCGGGCGGCATATCTCTCGGTGATATAGCGCGTCAAATATCTCGTCGGCCGACGAGATCGATGGAATTTTCGACTCTCTCTCTCTCTCTCTCTCTCTTCTTTTACTTCCGCCTTCTCCGCATTCGATTCGAGAACTCTTCGCGTTCCAACGGTCGGGCAACACTCGGTTCGACGCAGTAACTCGAGAAGGTGACTTTCCAGGCATCGCTCGACCGGAACGGCGACGATGTTTGTTTACGTTGGTTTTTTTTAAATATCGCTTCACGAATTTTAGATTCGTAAACTGTTTACGTATAATCTTATGAAGCGTGGAACAATGTAGTATATTAAATGATTTTTTTTATCTCAAATTGGATCGCGACAGTCGTGGCGATAAAAATATTATTTTCAAAGTTTTTGAATTTCGTAAAGCGTGGATAATATGCGGAATGAAATTAGTTGGAGCGAAGATGAGTTTGATTTTTCGTTGTTGAATAACGAAATTATTTCTATTCGTTAAGAAATTGACGATAGAGGAAAATAGCGATGAAAATAGAGATATGGTAAAAAGAAGATGAAAAATAAGATTATTGCGATATTAGTTCAAGAATTTTTCGTTTTATTAATCCTTTGCACTCGTATTTATATTTATAAGAAGGTTACCAATCAACTCGGAATTTTTTTTCATATTCGATCAAAATGAAAACATTTTTCCGGGAATATATTACTTGTCGTTTTAGTAAAAAAAATTTGAAAAATAAAATATATAAATATATAAAGCAAATTTTATCTGCATCTCAATCCCTTAATCTACATAATATATATATATCTTTTATTATCTTTATTATCTTTCATTTATTTTATTTTATATATATATACACATATTTAAGCAGAAACTAAAAGAAAACATTGTAAAAATTGTATAAAAATAGAGATATAAGAAGAAGATATAATATAATAAGATATAAAGATATAATATAAGAAGATGAAAAATAGACAGTGAATGTGAGAGCACGTTATTGGGATTGTACGATTTATAACCACATTTTATCGCGATACTTGCCTTGACGAACCGAATATATATCTTGACAACGATATAGACTTTAATTCGATTTTCTCTCCTTATATGTAAAGATTCGTATATTATTAAAATGTAAAAGTTTTATACGTTAATTTGTGCGCGAAATCATTTTAAATTAACTAAGAAATTCATCGAACGGGTGCGAAAGATCGCGTTGGTTCGGTCGAACGAGAAAGCCTTGGGTTAAAATTTTATCCGAGCGAGGATAGATGTCGCCCTCGCTTCTTGTTCGCTCACCGATGAAAGAAAATACGCGGCGAGCAAAGATGACGAATTGGAAATGAAAACGAAACGGTTCTCGCGTCCAGAAGAAATTTTGCAGGGGGAACGCGTCCTTTCTCATTTACATCCCTGCTTCTTCCTCTCTCTCTCTCTCTCTCTCTCTCTACTCTCTCTCTC